AAATTTGCTGAGTCTGTAGTGTATTTGTTTGTTTTATTCATTATTACTCAGTGTCAATGTCACCTTTAGACTTGCTATCTGAGCTTGTTTGAAACACCAAGGATGATATTACTCTTTATTACTGTAGTGTCCACTTAACTTTTGAACTGCCTTCAGAGAAAGAGGGAGAGAAAATACATTTTTATTTTGTATTTTATCTTGCAATATGTAGAATTTACAGTCACATTCACATGAGCATATTAGGTCATTTGGATAAAGTTTAAAAAACTTTTTCAAACTTGCCTGAGTACATTATGACAGTACTGTTGGGGGGACATGAGCCATACAGCCATCAGATAGTGCTGGAATACAGCTTCCAGCTGAGCTCACAGTAGCAGACCAGTCTAACTTTTTGCCATACAGTGTCTAAAATTACCTCAGACTGCCTTGTTTGTGGCTCCACTCAGGAGTTCACCCAGCTGTAAGCACCTCAAGTCATTATGACAGGGAACACACGATCGCAGCCTCACACACTGCTAACACAAGGCTTTTTTGAGAGGTGTTCTACATGTGAAAGGAGTCACAAATGCAGTCATGACATATTCTTTACATACTTTACCAAGTAAAGGGTTAGTGTCTGTGAAACAGTTGAATGTGACTACAGATTATTTGTAGTTGTTAATTGCGAAAATGTCTTGCCACATTCAGAAATTACACCTCTACTCATCATTCTGTAAAAGAAATTAGATTTTTGCCACAATGAGCAATTTAGGATGCACCGTGAAAGCTGGACGTTTTGTGTCTTTAATGAAGCTTGAATTCATTAAAAGCAGACCAGTTTGTACACATTTTTTCTAAAATGATCCAAGTTATGTTTCATTTTTACAGATGGCTGCACCTACCATCCAGGAGTCCCAGTTTTCCATGATGCATTGAAGGTAAAAAAAAAAAAAAAAAAGGACACAGTTAGCTGGTGTCTTGTTATCTTGTCAAAGGTAAACATCCATCTGTCTCTCTCTAGGGATGGTCCTGCTGCAAGAGAAGGACCACTGACTTCTCGGACTTCCTCAGCATTGTTGTAAGTTTTAGTTTCTGTTTTAATCCATACCTTTTAATCCTCCGTGGCCATGTTGCCATTGTCTTCATAGGCATTGAAGGTACTGCCACCTTTGCTGTGGCCATACTGGCCTGTGCACACATTGTACACTGTGACTTTCTCCTCCACAGGGCTGTACAAAAGGTCCCCACAACAAAGAGAAGCCCCCTGAGCCAGTGAAACCAGATGTGACATCATCAGGAGAAAAGAAAGACGCAGATGACCAAAAACCAAAGTTTGACGAGTACATCATCTCCGCACCAAAGCCTCAGGAGGCAATACACAGACCAAGGTTGTAAAGTTAGATGTATACGTATTTTTTATATTTTAATCAATACCATAGGAATACCCTTGGCACTTGTAATTTGTGCAGCAACCCCTTATTTAACTACAGCAAAAATGCTTCTAGAGATGCAAAGATTTTATCAAATCACATTTAAAGGAAAGAAACAAGCCAAGTAGAACACACTTTTCAGTTTAAAAGTATATATATCCCTGTAATCCTATGTATTACATTCTGCTCTGAATGTTTAGTATCACATGCAAGAAAGGATAGAAAAAGTATCAGAGCTGTTAAATCAGCCTGAATACTGAGGATCCTCAGAATAGTCAGAGGCGTTCTCTAATCTTTACCCAGGATACTTCCCACCAGAGTTCAAAAGAACGTGCACAAGCAACTGATGAAGTGATTACTGCTGAATGGCGAAACTCCTAGTGTATTGGTCTCAGGTGCGAGACTTCAGTTTGAAGTGATGTTGCTGATAATGTATTCCTTACTTGAAGTAAAAGCCACAGCACTCTTCCAAATAGTTTTCAATTAAAAAATGAATGAAAAGCAGGTACCTTTTGTCCCTGCCTTTGTTAATGTCTCATGCCTAATAGATTTGTTATGGTTACAGTGCTGATGAGCCAATGGTGAGATTGCAGCAAAAAGTCTCCGCTTCCCTGAAGCAGGCCCTTGAGAGACTGAAGCTTTCCGAAAATACAGCAGAGAAGAAAGGTGAGAACAGAACTTTATCTTCCCTTTCTCTCTCCTCTTATCTCTTTCAGTTTTGCGTCCTCTCTATCATAGACTACCATCCATTACCATCCACTTCTTGTTACAGTAGACAGGAAGGTCATGTTGACAGGGGAAGTTAATGGATGGCCTCTGGGAATTTGCCCTCACCTGTGTCATTCACATCATGGCGTTTGAGTTAAAGCTGGCAGGGACAGGGCGACACATCATAACTGTGGATGCAATCTTTTTGATGCTCTTTCTTTGTCTTTCTTTCTGTCTTTCTAGAGGAAGATACTGATGAGATCAAGATTGGAACAGCCTGTAAAAACGGTGGATGTAGTAAAGTAAGTATATGTGTGTTTACAGTGTGTAAATATCTCTGTCCATACCTGTGTAGGGCTTTGGAGACAGCATCTTAAATGTTTGATTTGTTTTTCTTTAAATACACGCTGAAATTTGGGATTCTGCCAAATAAGCTTCCACTTCTTCTCGATTTGTAAGCCAAATTCAGTTTGCATATGTTGAAAAAGTATATGACAGATGTCATTAAATGAAAACATAAACAAATCATGATAACGTCCCAGAAGAGCTCACCGCTCTGGGTAAGGCAAAACAGATAGAGTTCCTTTTCCTCCTCTGCTCTGAGATGGATGCGAAGCTACTTTTTTTTTTTTGCTCAAGCTAATCTGGCCTGTCAGAGCAGAAACCCCAAGATTAGAACATAAATTGTGAAGAAGATTTGCATTGACGGGTTTGGTAGAAGCTTGGAGTGCGACTTTAATGATTTGCATAATTGCACTTTAACTGATGTGATTGAAAGCCATGAGATATGCTCTCAAGCTGCCTGCTTTTAGTTGATTAATCAGTTGGGAGCTTGGTAGTGTCTAAATTGGTATGTTTTAATATTTCCCAAAGTCTTTATTAAGGAACTGTATATTAGTCATTAATCGTTTTTATACCTGTGCCATACTATTGAGCTCTATTTGTGTTTTTAATAATAAATACTTTCTGTGTTAGTGCTTTAAACCACACTTCTGTTGTTATCTTCAGAGTTTTGATGGACCTGCAAGCGATTTGGATGTATGCTTATACCATGCTGGATTTCCTATCTTCCATGAAGGGTTTGTATTTCCAAAACACTCCTTACTTATGTATCGACATGAAATAGAATATTTTCTCTGGAAACCGTAAAAGAGTTGTGAGAGGCAGCACTAGTATTTTCCTGTTAGTCTTCCTTTTAGTCTTGTTCACTGGCTCTCTTGAGTGACAAGTTATTGACTGCTAAAAATCCAGCGGACGTATGTCTTTCCTGCCTCACCAGGATGAAATACTGGAGCTGCTGTAAGAGGAAAACCTCCGATTTTAACACCTTCCTCTCTCAAGAGGGCTGTACCAGGGGAACACATCTATGGAGGAAAAAAGATGCGGTAGGTGTGCCAGTTTGACAGCAAGTGATCATTAATGTGTGCACATCCATGTGAGAGAGCCTCAGCTGCGACTCCATCTAGTGGTGTCTGATGAAACAATGCTCTTTGGTGGAGATTGTAGGTATCAAATCTCTAAAACATCTTCAAATGTTGTTTATTAAATCTCCACACAGGGTAAGAAAGTGGTCCCGTGTCGGTTTGACTGGCACCAAACAGGGATGCAAGTCATCATCTCTATCTACGCCAAGAATTCCATCCCAGAGCTATGCTACGTGGAAGCAAACAGCACCACGGTGAGGGATGCTATTCGTCTGCCAGATTATTTTCTATCCAAATCTAAAGTGCTTAGATTTTGTGACCGTGTTCCTCATAATGTAACGTTTATTTCTTTTCTCCTTCAGCTCGACATCCATGTTATATTTGAGGGGGAGAAGGAGTTTGTGCAGAAAATCAGCTTGTGGGGAGTGAGTATAACATCTCTTTCAACCTGATGTGAAAAAGTCTTAGACCTTTGCTATACACTCAGGTGCCACTTTATTAAGTACACCTGCTAGTACCAGGTTGGACCCCATTTTGCCTTCAGAACTGCTGTAATTCTTGGTGGCAGAGATTCAACAAGGTGCTGGAAACATTCCTCAGAATGTATTGAGTTGCTGCCACATGACTGACTGATTAGGTATTTCATTAAGCAGTCAAACACTTGTACCTAATAAAGTTGCCAGTGAGTGTATGTCAAATTTAAATTGTAAGGCATTCTAGATACCATAATACAACATTCTTGCAGGAACGATAATATGTCCTATTATTTGATATCATGCCATATAAACAGAATGAATAGAATGGACACTGAACTATTTGACAAGCATGAAAGAAAATGGCAATTGTTGTTAGTCGTTATGGTGACAACACACATCAGTGGGGCCATGAAGTGTGTCACAGTCACGAGTTTGTTCTCTCTTTTCCACCAAACTAAGACCTGAATATACGCCACCTGTTAAAACATGACTTTAAAGTGCTTGTCACCCATCTTTCTACCTTATAGGTGATAGACGTGAGTAAAAGTGTAATGAACATGATGGCCGCTAAGATCGAGATCGCCATGAAGAAGTTCGAGCCTATGTCCTGGGCTCGTCTGGACCTTCCCCCACCGCCTCCACCCAAAGAGAACGAGCAGGAAAAGGAGGAGGCTGACAGCGAGGATGAAGATGAATGATAAGGAATTAAAACTACAAACATAGTGTGTATTTTTACCGAATCCAAGGCCACACAGTCCGTTCCTTACCTCTTGAAAGAGTCACCTCTTTTGCTGTCATGGAACTTTGGCCTCTTCTCTTCAACATTACAATGTTTTTCATTTCATTTTCAGTTGTTAACATACTTGATTTTGCACGTTTTTTTTTTTATATTTTCTTTTGTTCTGTTCATGTTTGTTTTGGGTTTGTTTGTTTTTAGTTTGGGTCCTTTTTATAGGTCGTTGTTGGAATGCTAAAGAGTCAAGTTTTTTTTTTTTTTTTTTTTTTACAATGGTCTTTCACTAAAGTAGTAAATGATAATATGGGCACTGACTTTCAGCAGCCCTCCAATCAGGTCAGATGATGACACAATTGTTAATTGCACTGAAATTCCTGGGGAAATAACACTATAGATTACAATAGGGGGCCAGATGTGACCAAGCTTACTCTCGGACCTATAAAGCCTTTCATGTTGACTGCTCACATCAGGTCATCATAACGGACCACACTTTGGACCATCCTCTTTTTCAGCAATGTTTGGTAAAAGATTCATTCCATCCATTCCTAAATTGTTTAAATTATTTAATTGTTTTGTCCACCATTACCACATCAGACTGAATGCTGTCATCCTAAATGTATCCCCATATATGTGTAACAAAGACGCTGTTCTACGTAGTTCGAGTAGAAAATTTGGATCTCTAAAATGTCCACACTTGTATAATACGGCATTTATTGTGAATAAATTGTGTTGTAAGAAATACAATGGTTCCTTGGGACTCTTAAGCTTAGGAATTAAAAGTTAAATCCCACCTTCTCACAGTTAAAATAGTGGATTTGCTCCAAATTTGTTTTTTTTTTTTACATGATTATAACTAATGTATATTTTGTACAAGTATTGCTTCTAAATGATCACTGCTGTATTTATCTCCTGATTTCATGTCAAAGCAACATAATGCATTTTTAGTAGTGAGAATGTACTGTAATATCTGAAAATGGCAATTGAATACCAAGTATTTTAAACAAAGTACTGTATTATAAAAACGCTATGCTAGACAGCATGTCTCACGGCTTGGAATGTATGTGTTCAGTTTGGCTGAATGAGACCATGACACAAGAGTTAAGTCATTAGGGAACCAATTTATCTTACCAAAAATAAACTTTTGTGTTGAACTTTTGAAACTTGTGTTATAGTTTATATCCTGCTGTGAGTATTTCTAATGCAGACATACAGTATATATGCAAGCAGGTTTTGTTAGAGTGGCATTAACGCCAGACTCATGAAAGGAAACGCTTCTCTTGCATTAAAGTAGGTGTGACCTTTCGAGTGAAGATTTTTGAACCATATGCAACTCGGGGAATTGCAGTGACTTTTTGCAAATGTCATAAAGTTTTTAAAACTATCACGTATCTTTTAAGGTTAGAATATTGAACCGTACGTCCTGACGCTGCGGTGATGTCTCCGACCTTGACATCTGTGTAGACATTATCACCTTTTCTCTTTCCAGAAACACATCTCACGCCACAAACATAAATCAGTTGAAATGGTAATTAAAATGTGGTTCAGTCAACTCCCACACAAAGATAATAAAAGAAAGTCCCCCAAGGCTTTTGTGAATTTGTCTGGAGAGTTACTCCACATGGCAGTTGGATGCATGTAGGATATCATTTCTTAATAATAAATGCATGCATACATGACTGATGCAACATACTGCAGAACCTTAGTTTTTGAGGTAATCTGCTAAAACCATGTGGAAAAGTCACTATGGAACATCTCCATGACAGAAACCATAAACATAGGAAAGAGCATGTCTGAAATGAGCAAGAAGTTACAAGTTGTGGGTGGAACATAATCCAACTTAAACATGCCTCTAAACCCATTTCAAAATGTCCTACATGCACTTACATTTTTTACTCTTTTAATTTAAATACATTGCCAATAACACAGATTACAGAATCATCACATTTAGTCAATATGATGTATAATTCACAGCGCTCTGATGTTAAAATTCATAGATCACGTGCACCACTGCACAGGGCTGGCTGTGCCTTCAGATAGTTGTTTGGTAGTTACGGTGTTTGGTTTCCTCTGTGTCACTGCTCCAGATAAGTGGCTGTCTTTCTGGGAGAGCAAATAAGTTTTTCCACTTGTTCACATGCAGCCAAGTCGACCCTCCATATCGCCGTTTTGCAGCTAGGATAGCAGCGGCTAGGGTCACAGCTACAATTCCTCCACAGAGACCTGCGAGCAGCAGCCAGGGCCACACATCCTGCAGTTCCTCTAGGTAAGGACGCATAGACTCTGCTAGCCTCTGGTCTGGAAACAAAAGTAGAGGTAGTCACAGGAAATTATGCAACAATCTGAGTCAGAATATTCTTTTTAGATATATATGTTAACTTTGGTTTAAGACTTGAAATAGATTGAACAGATAGAGCAAAAAACAAAAAGAGATAATGGAAAGCAGCTTACTTATTTCTTAAAATGCAATTTAGATAAAACTTACTGGCATCTAGCAGATACGTATATTCATATCCCAGGTCTTTGCTGGAGATGAAGAACTCTCTGTTTCTATACAGGGGCAGGAAGGGGACCATGTGGTATTCGCTGTTGTGCCCTATCGGAGCATCAGAGTCTGGATACTGCGACAGAGATGGTCTGTACCTCCTGAGCCACTGCTCATAAATGCTTTCACAGAGAATTAAACCAATATTAAGTGCAATTGTGTAAGTCACCTCAACTTGCAAAATGTGTCTCTGTGTGTGTCTTACCTGTCAACAAAAGCATGGTGGAGAAGGAATATGGGGTCATTGGCTGAGCCCTGCACTGAGGACATGGATCCGTTCATGTACACATGAAGAGCAGCATGCATGCCCATACGAGAGCTGTTTCCTAACCCGGTCTGAGGATCCCCGAATCCTGCAAGATGAGAGGTATTTAATTAGCACCATCAAAGGTGGCAGCAGCATGTAGTAGTTAGAGAAACAAAAGCTTTTTGTTTTTCAATGAGATACTGTCTTAAAAAAAAGAGACGAAGAATGGCATTTTAAAAAGAATACCGTGGATACTCTAAGTCTTTCACTGACAATGTGAAGGAATAGTTCAGTATGGTGCATTTTGAAATGTAACCTGTCAGACAGACAAGCATTGCATCATTAAACAGGGTGTGTATGGTAATGAGAATCTCCATAAACCTCTCCTACAGTGGATTTTCTTTCATTTCCAGGAAGTATGAGATGTGTGATGTTCAAATCTAATATTGGTATCCTTGGAAACCACCAAAAGCCACTAAACCTATGTTGAACAAAGCACTTTGAATAGTTCTGTGTTGATATCTACTATCAAGAAGACATGGATGTTTAGCAATGTGTCACATAGCCTTTCTACAATAGCTGGGTTTGTGCAGAAGGTGTAATCCTAAACCCAAGTCACTGCCATCCCTAATTAATTCATACCCAACTGTTTATTTGCAAGCAGACATTTTAGTAATGAAAAATATTGTAAGGTGAATATTAACATTGGACAATCTTATTGCCTGCCATTTTGGTGTTACTAATGCATTACAACAGTAAGATGCCATGACGGATTATTAAAACCAACCTGCTTTATCAGATAATGAGCCGTGTTGAAAGAGGTAAGTGGTATCCCTCCATTTGCTATATCCAATTAGGTCATGCGGGTTCATTTAAATGCCAAAAATGAAAGTGCAGCTAATCTTCAACAACATACAGAGCAGCTTGCACATACAGGGACAAGACAGACAGACCATTAACACAATGAGAGTGAAGAGCAGCAGTGCAGAGCTGTGTATAATTTAAGGTGGAGCAGCCCAGCCAGTGATATCACCGGTAGAGCACAGCAGTCAGTGTGTGTGTGTGTGAGCTTGTCTGTGTGTGTGCATTTGTGGTCAAGCTTATCTGACCTTCCAGAGTGTTCCTGAAGCTCATGTTGGCACTGCGGTCCATGGCTCCTGTGTCATAGTCGGTCAAACTGAGAGTAAACTCCACCTCTGCTGAAGTTGGTAATCTTTCAACCACGTTGCGGTTGTGGTTTCCAGGGTTACGACGCAACGGGCCTTCTGCTTCAGCATCACACAACACACCCCTTTCACTGTAGTCCTCTGCGCGGGAGCACAATATCTGTTGATGGAGGCACACAGGAACATATTGCAATACGGCACATGATAGCATCACCACAAACCCCAGCAATGATGTCAGTTGGTTGTTGCGAATTATGTTTTGACTTGCTATCAGGTTTGCTGTTAGGTTCATTACTGTGAAGGTAAATCTCAGCCAAGCAGGTCAAAATTACCTATAAAGGTATTTCTACAATTCCCTTGATCAAAGCAGATGTTTTAAACTCAAATAAAGGTGGAAATTTCCTTTCTTTAAATCCATTTAAAATAGGCTGTACCATGTGTGAGCGACCATTGATATTCATTTCAGTTATCCTGCATTTTTGTTGTATTTTAGGTAATATCTCTGGATGTCTAAAGACAACACTTAAGAACTGAATCCTACTTCAATATTTTAACCAAAAAGTTGCTTACACTGACTTTTGGAGTCTTGAGCTCCTGAACTCATCACTTTGACACTGTCGCTTTCCTTTGTATACTTTATTTACTGTTTTTACACCTGTTTAGGTTACAGTCACATAATTTAGGAAAGTTTTTGGTACACTACTTAAAAAACAAATGAAAATTCTGAAGACCACCTTGAGAGTATGGGGTGCTGTTTGTAAAGTGGCTCACACTGAAAATAACATCAACATTTTGCCACATTTAGCTTTAAACAATGTTTAAAAAAGTGTTGTGAATTTTTTAACGTCACCTTTTACCACATTTACAGCAATATTTGTTAACTTAGAAATATATTAAATAGTTAAATCATAATATTAAATGTGGCACCTAAATGTTAAATGTTAAATCTAAA